AAATATGCTGGGCACATAGCTCAGTAGCATAAGCGCCTCCCTAACAAGCACAAGGTTGTGAGTTCAATCCCCAGGATCGAAAAAAAATAATTTAAATTGTCGATGTCCGCTCCCGGCCGGCAGGAAGGACACACGACAAAGTCTGGTAGTGGACAACCTTTTCTTTTTATTTTCCTTCTCCGTACAGCCTGCCCTGGGTTCTCCCAGCTGAAGCCTCCTCTGGTCCGCTCCCCGCGGCTCCTTTTGTGCTTCAGTCTGCCCCAAAGCCTCTACCGGTCCGCTCTCCGCGGCTCCTTTTGGGCTTTTACTTCTGGGCTTCTACCTGGCTTCTTCTTCCGCCCAGGGGTGGCACCGGTATATATACGGGTACAGTGTCCAATCATGTTAAAGTAAGCAAGGCAAGCTGATTGGCTAACATCATCAGTTGCCAGGCAGACTATATTGTTGAGCGGGTTGTTCACGCGGTAAGCAGGAAACTAACATATTCGATGGGAGGGGTAATCTACCTCAGGCTTTGCTCTTTACCACAGGCCGCACGTCCGCCGCGCAAGGCGAGCTATCACAGACGCGGCTCCCAACATTAAATACTGCATGCAACGCCCTGGTAAACATTAAAAATGAAGCCATAATATGTCCTAAAACTATGAAGGCATTTGTGAGAGTGCTAAGTACCTTCAGGATAGAGGTTATGACTGAAAAAGAATAGAACTGCAATTAGTAAAAGTATACAAGTAGATTTGAACTATATTGTAAAGTTTTATTCCTTTATACTGTAAAGGTTGCATGCATATGGCTGTACATTGTTTTATTCTTTTCACTTTTATGTATGAGGTGAATACTTCATAAAGAAACAGGATAAATGCTACATGTTTTATAATAAAATCTTTAAAAAATCAAAAATAAAATATTGTGAAATTATACGTGCATGTGTTTAAATTACCCTGGCATTTCTCAATCAATACTTCAAAGACAGAAAAGCCACAAAGAAATGATTTAAATTGAAATTGTTTTTTTGTTTTTCTATCAAGAAAAAGGTCAGAAAAAAAAAGAAAAAGTAGATCAGAGTAAAAAAAATAAGCAGACAAATGGAATATATATATTATATATATATATTATATATATATATATCTGCAACATTAATGTGTCTTTTAAAAATTTGTATCTTAAGTCTGTCTGTATAATAAAGGATAAAGAGACAACTGATGACAAAAGAAATGTAACTAACCATGAACATAGGAAGTCATGTTAGACAGGTGAATTATTTTAAGTTTCATAGTATGTGGTCATGATTTTCAAATGTCCTGTGGTATGGAGGTTTAATGACCAAAAAGGTAGAATGTAGAATGTATTGATAACTACTAGATGTTTGATTTCCACCCTGAAATTTAGGTAAGATTAGTTTAACATCAAACTTCTCTTTTTTAGGGTCTTACCATGTAGCCCAGGCCGGCCTTGAATTTACAGTGAAGCTCGTGCCTCAGCCTCCCAAGTGCTAGGATTATGGTGTGTGCCACCACGCTTGGCTGACATCAAACTTCTTGTGTAAGCCAGGCACATAAAAGTACTATCCCACACTAACAGGCAATGAAGATAGCATACAGCAGTGTAAGATTTTTTTCATCTGTTACATTGGTAAAATAATAATCAGTATTAATAATCATTTGGGGCAAAGGAAATATCAGAAGCAATTGATTTGATTCTAATTTCTCAATCTTTCAAGATCAGTCTTTTTTTTTTTTTCTTTTTGGTACCAGAGATTGAACTCACAACTTTTTTGTGCATGCCATATAGGCACTTGTGCTGCTGAGCGAAATCCCTGGCCATTTCTCAATCTTTCAGATAAACAGATTTCTCATTTTGAATTTCCACTTCTATAAGTACAATCTGAGAGGAGAATAATGAATGCTTGTAGTAGTTTTGTTGATAGAAAAAAACTACAGAAGTTTCACACCTGAAAACATTATGATCTCATGATCAAAAACAGTGAATTGCTGAACTGAATTAAATACACACACACACACACACACACACACACACACACACACACACAATCCCTCTTGGTCAGAGCAACACTCAATCTGATATATTACAGTGTCTAAAAATACTGGAAAATAGTTCATGTCCTAAAATGTTTATTACCTAGTGTTTCACAAAATAAGGCAGCTATGAAGCAGTGAGTAGGATTTGTTCAGATAAAAAAAAAATACATGTGTGCAAAAATATATTAGAAAATAAAATTAAGCCAGGTATGGTGGTGCACTCCTGTAATTTCAGCACTCAGGAGGCTGAGGCAGGAGAAACTTTCCTTGTGACTTCAAGACCAGCCTCGGCTACAGAGTAAGCTCAAGGCCAGCCTGAGCTGCATAGTAAATAAATAATTAAATAAAGGAAAAAGAAAATATAAAACCAAAATGTGATATTGTTTTCTTGGGCAATGGATCATGGGTGATTTTTAAAGTCCAATTTATGTCTACATTTTCTATAACGATTATTATTATTATTGGTACTGTTATGGACTGAGAACTGGTGGTCAACTTAACGCCAGCTGGATTACATCAGCATGCATTGAGCGAAGATGCTCCACCTGAGGAGGGTTGCCAGGATAAATAGGTGGAGAAGAAGAGAGGTGTTGAGAGGGCTGAGGCATTAAGTAGGCATTGTGTGTCCTCCTACAAGTTGCTGTCTGAGCTGTTGGTTCTCCTGGAGAAGCTTTAGTCCTCACATTGAGCATTGCTTCCTGGCTCCGGAGGGGAAGACGTGTGCTGCCTGGTCTCCAGGATGAACTCGTCACGCTGCTTTCTGGCATGTACCCGACTATGCTTGTCGTCAGAGGAGCTCGGGGCCTCCATGTCGCTGAGGATGGCTGTGATGCCTTTCAGGATAGCCCTGGTCTTTGTTGTGAGTGTGACTTCTCAGCTCCAGCATAGAGCCCTCATCCCACTAGCACAGCTCCTTCATCCTGCTGGCATAGACTTTCTGGCTTCCATCAATGACCCTTGGGTCTTCCCGGCACGGATCCGTAAGAGACTGGCATGAGTCCTTCTTGTGGGCTCTGGACTTCCAGTTGGACTCGTGGAGGCATTGTCCTGAGCTCTGGGTTTTTATCTGGACTCATGCGGGACATTGCTGTGGGGTTTAGGCTCTTGACTAAATAATCTATGTCTTTGGTGTTGCGGATAGATTTCCTGCATTTTCCAGTGACCATTATAAAAATATTATAAACTCCATGTCCTGATCTGAATTGTTCTCTGTGTACAACCCCTGACTACAACAGGTACCGAGGATTGAACTCACGACCTTGCACTTGCTGGGCAGGCAATGTTTATCTTCTTAATAAAAATGTATTATATAGGGTTATAGTTGGGGTAGGGGAATCACTTTGATCCACTGGGCCCCTCAGCAGTGGGTGCTGTTCCTCAAATATTCCCTCAACACCCCCCCCCCCCCCGCAGTAATCTCTAGGAAATCTCAAAGCAATGTGGTTTAGGACTCAACCGGGCATGTGTGCCCTGCCAGCATCTGGTGGTGTGACAATTCAGTTAAAAAATCTACAGTTCAATGCTGTTAAAACAATACATGCTCACCCAGCCCAGCACAGAGACCATTAAACTCCGTCAGCCTTGCCTAACCACATCGGCTGCAGCTAGAGTCTGGCCTGGATTCACTCTGGGATGCTTATACTGCTTGACAAATATATTCTGTTTTCAAGGACTGTCCAACCAAGATAAACAAGTCAAGGGCATACTTAGTTTCAACCAGCCCCTCAGCCCTGGTTCCCTCCCTTTTTTTTGTACCAGGGATTGAACTAAGGACCTCGCACTTGCCAGGCAGGCACTTAAGCCACTGAGCTGAATTCCTGGCCCTCCCTATTTTCCCTCAACCCTTCTGACTAACCTGCCTGGAACAAACCTGCCTGACAACATACAACTTGGTTCATGTAACTGGCTATATGATAACCTGCTATCAGCTTTGTGCTTCCCACCTGCAAATCCTATGTAAGCTAAACCCAAAGCTGACCCGGGGCTAATGATTTAGACTTGGTTCCCCCAGCACACTAGCGTAATAAAGTTGCCTTCTCACTTCTCCATGCGAAAGGTCTTCCATTTGGGTCAAAATCAGACTTCCCAAGAGTGGCAGTGCTTGGGCCCAAGGCTGGTGGGCAGTTGTCGCTAAAAGAAAGCGTACATTTTTATTTAAGTGCTGAAAAATAATCAGTTAATGGCAGGAATGATAGTGTTTTTATAAAATGTCATTTGCTTTAATAAATTAATGTGCAGTTAACAAGACTGGCTTTGTTACTTAACATTCAATTAATTTGGATTATTGGGATAGTTTGCAAATTTTTTTTGTCTTTTTCTTTTTTATCAGTATCGGGGATTGAACTCATGACCACACACTTGCAAGGCAAGCGCTTGGGCCACTGAGCTAAATCCCCAGCCCCTCAATTTTGTATTATAGAACTTAAACAACATTATTGTTTTGTAGAGGGGTGTGACAGCCCACATACCTGTAATTCTACCACTCAGGAGGTTGAGGCAGGATTGCAGGGAGTTCAAGGTCAGCTGGGGCCTTCTAGTGAGTTCAAAGCTAGCCTGAACTACACAGCTAGATCATGTATCAAAAAAGAAATTATTACCGTTACAAGTAAATTCATGTACTAACCATGATGAATGTAATCACTATGTACTGCTAACTTGTACTAATAAAAAATTTAAACATTGGGCAGGGCATTTAGCTCAGTGGTATAAGCACAAAAAAATTTTTTTTTTAAATTGACATGTAACCAATGTCTCCTGCTTCTGTTTTTGTTTTCTATAGCATACCGAACTTAAAGGTCAGATGTGGTGGCACACATTTGTAATCCCAGCATTCAGTAGGCGAAGGCAGGAAGATCTCTGTGAATTTAAGGCCAGTCCTAGGCTACAAAGTGAGTTCAAAGCCAGCCCTGAACAGAATGGTTAAACTGTCTCTAAAAGACAAAACAAAACAAAACAAACTCCTACCTTTAAAAAATGATTTGATTTGATTTGGGAGTAGTACAAGATTTATCACCACAGATGATTCCAGTTCAAGTTATTAGAGCAGATTAATACAATGACAAATTCATACCATGGAACAAATATATACCCAATCATACAGCACAATTTTACACTTGACAATATTTATCATTGGTAGAAGTCTAAGACAACTGTATTTTTTATACTTTCACATTTAATTACAATTAATAATAGCTTTTGTTGTGTTTTATACAACACAGGAAGGACATAATGACATTTACTCTTGATGACTGTAATACTTTTACCGATTTTCAAAAGAATTTGTTAATCAGGTTGGAAACTGTACTCTTACTATGTCTTAATGACCATAAATATCTATATTTGACAAGAGGTCTGTCTTAGGGCAGAGAACTTACAAATCTCATTGCATTCTATGTTTTGGTGTACATCAGAGAACTATTTATACATGGCAATGTCTATTTTTACTAGGCTAATGTACAAAGACTGAAAAGTTTCACAGTTTGGTTCTTCTTGCAGAAGCAATATCATCCTCTCGTCCTTTGGGTGGCCCACAGGGATATCATATTTTATCCAAATCTGTTGGCCAGGGATTTAGCTTAGTGGCACAAGCACCTGCCTGGCAAGCGCTAGGTCATAAGTTTGATCCCCAGTACCAAAAACAAAAACAAAACAAACAGACAAATTTTATCCAAATATCATAGCGGCCAGAAAGTCATGGCACTGGACACGCAGCTCATCAGAGCTGGCTATATGCCAGTGGCCCAGAAAGAATTTGTATTACTAGACAAGGACGGGGCTAGCACGAGGTGGGTAGCTGGGAAGAAGACTTACAGAGTGGCACTGTGCTGGTTCTCATTTGTGTTTACCCACTTTTAGATTTAATATCTACCCACTTTACCTTATTCTATTTGATTCTTTCTGAATTCTACATAGTATTAGATTACATGCAGTACTTTACTTAATGATTCCTTCAGTAATGAGCATATATGTTGCTTCCAACTAACATAAACAATGTATTACATCTCACTTTGACTCCACCCAAGTCTGACCAAAGAATTTCCAGCACACAGTAGCAATCAGAATACTAGAAATTAATAAACATTTGATACATGTTTTTAGAACTGATTTATGAAGGACTCAAAAATCAGGTGAGATTTGATTGCAGATCAACTTATCAACAAAAGCTATTTCTAGAGTGAAAAGATCGTCAAAAATCCAATCTGCCCAAAACCAGCCTCCCTAAATTACCAATTTGATGAACTGATGACTCCTGTTTAAAAAAAAAAAAAGGTCTGCTCAACTCATGCCTCAGGGAGGCAAAACCAGGAACAAAGGGTACAAAATGTGGGATGAGCTGCAAATCCATTTAAGAAAAACATCACACTTTGTGTATCAAATGGTTAGGGTGGGTACAAAACTAAACCTCTCAGAAATCTTGTTGACGAGTTAGCTTTCAAGTTCTAGTAACAAGCACGAAAATTTAAACAAAAATGGTTTATACCAAGATGTCTAGAAACTGCCTGGCATCTCTGAGATGCTCTAGGTCCATCCTTCCATTGCATCTGAAAGGGTCCTACAGCGCCAGCCTTCACTTCAGTATTTGTGGCAGAAAGAGGGGAAAGGTGGCATTAGATACATGTATCATTTTCAACTAGGAAATAATGTTTTCCCAGAAATCTGTCAGCTGTGACTTTAGGCCAGCTAGAGCTGTGACAGCTTGGAAGAATGAACAGATTGCTTTCTGGGTTCTTTAGTGATTCCAGATAGAGGGGGAGGGTATGCAGAACAGCTAGGCCACCAACACTGTCTTCATATATAATTAATTTCTCTTCCAAAACGAGTTTATATGTCAAGAAATTTCTATTGGGGGCTGGGGATTTAGCTCAGCGGCATAAGCGCCTGTCTTGCAAGCAGGCAGTCATAAGTTCGATCCCTGGTACCGATAAAAATGAAAAAGACAAAAAAGAAAAAAAAAAAGAAATTTCTATTGATAAATTAAAGACAATAATTTAAAACAGTTTTGTTTTCAATCATGACTTATTTTTTACAGTTTCATTGAAACTATCTGACTTTCACATTTTATTTTTTCCTACCATTCTAGAATGGAATTAAAATAAAATTAACCTTTCACGAAAGAGTAGGGGGAAAACGAGGCCACAAGTGGCAAAATACATTGACCCACCCTTCTTTAGTCACTGTCCTTCCACGCCAAAGAGCATCTGGAAAACATCCCCACATCCTTTGGTGTTTAAGAAATGATAAAGCTGACCGAAGTCCATGTGATTCCCTCTGCCTCCATTAACAAAGAACACTTTTTCCTCAAAAGTGGAAAATTTTCTGTGTCTCTCCATTTCATCGTCTGTACCATCAAAAGGAATGTCTTCTCGATGGCGGATTAGAATTCTCTTCCAGTTTAATTTTCGAAGCCTGAAAAGAAATTTTCAAAGCACAAATCTTCAAAATGGGTTGTGTATTCTAAAGCACTGAACAGAGCAGTTATAAAACAGGATCTATGCATGTAAAGAAGTCTGCCTTTTTCTCAGAAGGGTTTATTTCAATCAAGTATAAGTCTGGGCATGGCCCCAACTCCAACTCATTTTACAATTATTACTGTCTCAAAAAAACAAACAAACAAACAATTATTACTGTCTCCTATGAGTAGCCTTGGAATATAGAAACAGATAATTTGCAAGCCACTCAAAGAAATTCTCAGAAGATCATTTATCAGAAGAAAAACAATTAGTGGCAGTTCTAATGCTTTTAGAAAGTTTCTACTTTACAGAGTGTAAGTTTACAACATCAGTAAATAAAAAAAGAATCAGATCCATGGAAATGGATGGGATCTTAGTATCCTGGGAAGAGATGCATTGACTTCAACGAGTAGAGAATGTCTCCACCATGTCAGGTGAAGGAAGTCATGCTGATTATACATGTGATTCTGCCTTACCCACTGACATGAGACTGAATTCCACAGAGACACACCCTGTGGCCATATTTCTGCATCTCTAATACTTTCTTTTCTATTACTCTTATTGACATGATACACAAAACAAGTGATAGCAAACCTTGACCAGAATTCTTCACAGGCACTTTGTGGGCCTTCCACGCAAACAACACCAGGCTTCCCAGGCATGCTAAACCCGGATAGGGAAAGCTCTCTAGTCCACTCCAGGATATTCTTTCTCTTCCATTTACTGTAGATATGATGGCTGTAGATCCAGAGCCTTGTAACAATGAGATCAACTGGCTGGACTGAACTTGCTGTGGTGGGGGAAGTCAGGACATCTCTGCTGACATAGCTAGAGGCGTGTTCTCTCACCCAGTCTGTGGCATTCAGTATACAGACATCTCCAAGACAATTTCTCTGCAAGTAAGCAGTCAGATCTACATTCAGCTGAGATTGTTGCAGTCTGCTTAATAATGCTGACCTGATTGAAGATACAAGAAAAGAATTTATATCAATTTCCTTGGAAGACAAAACAAACCCACCATTGCTTTTGTTTGATGACTAATTTTTGGCCTCTACAATTGGACAGAATACCTGTAACATACCTGACAGTAATTTCAGGCAGGACTTCAGGATATTTAAAGGGAAGAACACAGGCCAGAGAAAACGTTACCTGAATTTTAAAAAGAAGAAGAAAAGAAAAGAAGAAAGATGTAAGAGCTATTTTAAGTCTTAATACGTTTTAAGTCTTCCAAAAACAAAATTGGGTTACCATTACTTCCTCAGATATGTGCAGGTTCATATTGATGGTAAAGTAGACTTTTGAAGACCTCCCCTCCATTGTCTTCTTCTCAACACAATCTTTCAGTTCTGCTAAAGCAAGCTGGTCATTGACGATGAACTCACTTTCACCAGGGAACATACTGGCCAGTAGATCTAACTCTGAGAGCTGGGCCTCAGCCTGCTCTATTGCAGTCATTCTTGCACATCTGTAAGTTTCTAAAGAGGTAAGGGTAAGAGAAACAATTTATATGCACAATCTTGGGAGAATGCAATACATCAATATGGGTACTTAGTAAAAAGGTATTTGATTTTTTCATAAAAATGCAAAAATTAGCTGGGTATGGCGGTGTACACCTATAATCCCGCACTCAGGAAGCTGAGGCAGGAGGATCTCTGTGAGTTTGAGGCCAGTCTGGGCTAGATACATAGCTGGTCTGAACTGCATTGGGAGACCTTCTCCCAAAAAAGGAATTAAGTAAGAAAATTTAATCAGATTTTTTTCTCCTGTATTTTATTCTCAGATATAATATGCTAAGGTCCAAAAATATAAAACCACCCAGTAAAAGATACAACACACTAAATTCTTCTGTATCTAGGTAGCTCATCTGACATTTTCATCTGACAATGAACAATTTCACTGAAATAAAAAAAAAATGAAGTATTCAAAGAGCTATAGGGCACTGGTTCCACAGGAAGAGGCAGAGGCTAGGGTGCAGCTTCACTCCTCCTTCCCTGCTTTGGCAGGATGCTCACAAAGATTCTGCAGGCAGCCTTTGGCCCCTGACTTCAGCAGTCCTTATGGGCCTAGGGTAGTGGGTTTCTTTGAATTGGTTCACCTCTCTGAAAACAGTCCCTTTATTAAACGGTCTCTTCAAAGTTCCCAAGCTGAGTGTGTATCTACTTCTTGGCAATACTCCCACCCCAACTCTCTAAGGTGGCTGAGCTGTCACTGTACCCTTCCATCACAGCAATCACACACATTGTTCCAGCAGAGGCAGGCAGGACAGAACGACTGGCTACAGAGTAAGAGTTAGAGGAATATTATTTGTCATTCATTCAATAAATGTTCCCTAAACACCTTTTATATGGTAAGCATTGTCCATGGCCCTAAGAATATAATAATGAATAAAATTGTACACAACCTCTCTGCTGTCATGAAGATTTAATCTAGTGAGAGGAAATCACAATATCAAAAAACAAATATAGTCAGATATGGTGGCACAGGGCTATAATCCCAGCATTTGAGAGGCTGAGGCAGGAGGATTGCTGTGAGTTCACAGCCACCCTGGGCTACCTAGTGTGTCCAAAGCCAGCCTGATTTATATAATGAGATCCTGTCTCAAGAAATAAAAAATGTTTTTTAAACACCCAAATATATGTGTGTGTACATATATATATATATATATATATATTTTTTTTTTTTTTTAGGAAAAGACAGATGAGTAGGAAATGGTAAAACACATGTATAATCCAAGCACTCTGGGAAAAGATAAAGAAGGATTGCAAGTTTGAGTATAGATGGGCAATTTACCGATTTAGAAAGATCCTGTCTCAAAAGTAAAATAAAACACAATAAAACCCAGAAAACAAAAAACAAAACGATGACAATTTAGGACAATGAAGTTAAGAAACAACCATGGAGTAGAAGACAGATTTTCCTGACAAAGTTGTCAGGAAAAGGAACTATATGGAACAGACTCAGAGGAACTGAAAAGGAAACCAGATACAGACTTAGGCAGAGTGTTCCAATAAAAGTGAAGAGCAAGTTCAAAGGCTGGGAGGAAGAGGGCGCTGGGGACAGTGAAGAGGAGGTAGATAAGCAAATACGTGGTAGTGTATGAAAAATCTATGCCTGCTACTACAGAGAAGAGCATTGGAAAAAACAAGGTCCCCAGAGAAACACTGCAGTGACCTATGTAGAAACGATGATGGCTTGGATATGGGCAGTGATGGTGGATTGGGATGTTATTGGTAAAGGCAGTGTGAAGAAGCTAGGCTCCAGACACTGGAGAATATAGAGCCATTACGATTTACTGATGAACCACACAAAGTGGGTAAGAATGACTTCAAGGGGGTAGGCTACTGGAAGGATGGATTTGCCATTTATTTAGATGAGGATGACTGTGGAAATATGAAGCTGATTTTCAACACATTAATAAAGTGCCTATGGAGACAACTGTTGGGCAGAGCTGTCCAGCAGGCAGATATACAATTAAGGAGTTTAACACGGAACAACACTTTTGGATGTCATCAACACTTAAATGCATGCACAGTACTGGCCTTGTTTAAAATGATCCACGGAGTGAAGTTAGGAGAGGGTATCTTGTGAGTTTAGAGTCTGGAGGATGAACTGGAACACAGGACACAGTGACTTATACACAGAAAATTATGAGAGAGACGTCACAAATAATTTAATTGCCGAATTATTTTCATTAATGGTTATCAGTCCCCCCTCAACAAAAACCTTTCAAGAGAATTTCCGGACTCAAGTTCAGTTACTGCAGTAAAACTTTAGTTTCTTGATTGGAGTCATTTCTCCTCGCAGATATTTTCCATTAATTTCTTCCCTTTTTTTCCTCCCAAACACCAGGATCCATACTCCACTGCCCAAAAAAACTTCCTATGCGCAGGCGCACTCAGGTTTGAAAACTGATTGGGCCCATGACCATCTGTAGGCGGGGCTAGGAAACGCGACGGCGGTTTTGACCAATGAGCAGACGAGCAGCTCAAAGGAAGGCTGTGCCATCGCTCCGGCCTTGTCCTGATTGATGGTACTCGTCCCCCGCTAGAGCGGAGAGACTCGCAGTCTCGCTTACCACTAGTGTTCGTGGAAAACCCACTTACCGTCGTGGGTGTTTCACTGCCGTTATCGCGAATATCCTGGCTACACGGAAAGCTCCTGAAACAAAATTCTAGGGCACGGGATTCAAAGCTTATAAACCATTCCCCTAGAGCGGCCCAGCGGAAGTGAGAGCGCTGTTCAGCTGGCGCTTGCGCACGAGTCCCGGAAGGCGGAAGTGCCCTGCCCGCTCGGTCGACGGACTCTTTACTGTGTTTTCCTGAGGCTTTCAACTCAGGAGTTCGTGTAATCGCTGTGTGCTGCTTGGTCTCAGTGTTCATTCTCACATGTTACTCTCCCAACCAACATCGTTTCCATTTCCCTGCTGTTTCTGCTGTCTTAGGCGCTGTTTAGTGTGTGTGTGTGTGGGGGGGGGGGTTTAATCCCATTAAATAACGCTCCTGGAACGCGAGCATTTCAGAACGGGGTAGGCAGTAGTATTGGGGAAAAGGCGAACCCAAATTTCTCACTTTTTTTTTTTTTAAATCGGTATCAGGAGTCGAACTCATGACGACGCGTTTGCAAGGCAGGCGCTTATGCCACTGAGCTAAATCCCCAGCCCCCCAAATTTCTCATTTTCAACATCATTCCTCGGATGGTTATTTTCCATGGGTCTGAACCTTAGTGTAGCAAATCATTAGAGATCTGTGATTGTGCACAGGCGTTGATTTTAGAGGCTTAAAGTGGTGTCGGCCAGTGACCAAACTGGAAGGAATCATGTGAATGCGCAGATTTATCCCTGTTAAAGGACATTTTGAAGGAGATGTTAACTGGAGACTCACCAGAAATATTTTTGTCAGTTTGAGTAAGAAACACCCAACTAGATTGGATCAGCATCCTTCTGGGTGTAGAAGAGCCAGCCTAGGCACGATTGTCACCAGAATGGTATTAAAGGATAGATTATGTTTCTTCAGAGGAGGGTTAGCCTTCACCTTGGATGCTGCCTCCCAGCTTCCATCACAGACTTCAGCCTTCTAGCATAGACCTTTCATTCTCCTGATGTGACACTAAGGTGAACTCCAGACTTTCAACTGGATCCTTCAGATCTCCAGCACACAAGCAGACCTTTTGCTCTCATTTACACCTGACTCTCTGGGAGGCCACTGTAAGCCAGTCTTGTAAATATATATATATATATATATATATATATATATATATATATATATCTTGCATTAAATGTTTCTTTCGTAAGCACTGATTAATATATGAAAATGTGTAACACTAGTTTTTCCATTCTTGATGGAAACTAAGCTGTTTCCAGTTTTTTTTTCTTTTATGAATCTTCTTGCATGGCTTTTTATTTCTAACGACATGTATCTTCAGTATGTATTAAGCACTATGTTCCAGTCACTTCTAGATAGAATTATGACACAAAAATGTTCCATATCACAGAAAACTTAACATTTGTTTGCATATTTCTGTGTAGGCTTGGCAAGAAAATAGGTAAAAATGAAGGCAGTACCAGGTAATGGCAATTCCTGGGAAGAGATAAACTGTGAGTGCACCAGTGATTATGTTACTTGGATTGCTCAGTGAGTATATTGAGCCACTGATTTTTAAGGATTGAGGGGAGTAACAGTTTTCCAACTACAGAAGATCAAGGAACATTCCGAATACAGTAAACAGTGTAACTGGCCTAAAGTTTTTCCTGTTCGAGACACTGCTATGGGTGCTAAAAAGAATTTAATATGTAAAGAATATAGAAAAATTATTTATTGATACATTGCAAGAGACCAGTGAATCCAAGAGAGGACCACGCCATGAGGGTGACAGTTTATCTTCAATTTTAATGTGAGAAGGGGGTCTGGAATCATCCCAGGAATGATTTTATCCTGTCGTGGTGGTTCTGTTGTCCATTCATTGCAATTCTAAAGATAGGCAAGTGTTATCTGACCATAAGAACAAGGTGTTCTTGATTGAGAGGGTCAAGTACCTTTGGCATTGCTAGACATAATTATTCCTGGTTAAATTAACAACTATATAAAGACTGACTAGTATTAGTAGTCAAGGGATCAGAATATAGTATGTTTATAATTGAAAGGGACTTGTGATGTTATAGAGGATTTTTTTTTTTTTGAGATAGGGTCTTACTATGTTGTTTAGACTGGATTTAAGGTCACTATATAGCCTAGACTGGCCTCTGACTCCTGGTGATCCCTCTCCCAGTGCTGGGATTACAAATGTTTAACCAGTTAGATAGTATTAAGACATGACAAGTGGCTGAATATAGGGGTACTTTCAGCTTACAGGGTGGAAAGTTAACAAGTTCTATTACAGACTCATCTCTCATTTGCAATGTGGCCTAGGGTAAAATAACTGTGATTCCTTTCCCTACAGTTCTGTGTTAGAATGGGGGAGGGGGGGAGAGGATTGATACTGGGGAGGCTGGGATGACAAGTTTTCCCTGTTATTTAACCAGACATTACTCTGGGCACCTGGCAGGTTAGTATGCCTGTATCTTTACTTTTATCTGATTACTGGTAAGATTATATCTTCCTTTATTTTATGACCAGCTTTTCTTGTGAATTACCTGTTTACATCTCCCACTATTTGTTTTAATTTTCAATTGTCTTCTTTATTGTATAAATTCAGCGCACACTGAGCTACATCCCTAGCCCTTGACTCTCAGTTTTGTTTTCAAATTCATTCTCGTGGCTTTACCTTTTTTATTCGGACTTGGTGCAAGGTTAGTTCAAAATAACGTGTACAAGGCAAAATTAGGGTAACTGAAATGAAAAATCTTCCTCTCTTAACCACGTTTAACGAGTAATATTTAAGAAAGATAACCGCCCAGAGAACTCCCAGCCTTAAACCATCAGTAGGTACCCACACTTCAGAGGGATTCAAATAACCCCGGGTGACATTCGACTGATGACACCATCTTCTCCGCAAATGCCTCTGAATCCTCGGAATCGCTGACTCAGAACTTCCGCCGCAGAGTGCGCGCAGGCGCAGAAGAACAGCACCCAGCCTCGGGACCCAGGCCGAGGGACTTCCCATCATGCCGCGTTTCCGGAAGTTGCTGCTTTCCACGGTCACTGTGGATTCGGCTTTGTCGCTGTCTGTTCGACACCAGGAGGAGGAAGACAGAGTTGGTCACCCAGCCAAAAGGTCTATTTAGGGGATGCAGTTATGGGTGCTGTCTCCGTGGGTGAGTCCTGGTCCCACTGACTCGCTGTCGCCATTCGCCTAACTTCCAGCTTTCGGAGAGCCCGAAACTCCTGCCCCAAACTTGTTCTCTTATGTAAGGCCTCTCTCTTTTAAGCACGTTGCCGTCTCTTCCGGTACTACGTCCTCGTTGGTTGCTCGTTCTGTCAGTTCTGTGAGCTGGCCAATGAGTTGCTGCTGCTGACGTTCTCGTCGAATCGTGGACCCAGAGGTCCCCCCACCCCCGTGGTTGCCCAGCAGTTGGAAGGGAATGGAAGGAGAGGGAAGGAGAGGGAGGGAGAGAGGCATGGTGTGGCAGGCACCAAGAGCGTAGGTGGGTGGCTCGCCTCGCGACAGGACTGCCCTGTGCCTTGGGCTGGGCTTGCGCGGCGTCCATGTGCTTAGTAGGAAAATTAAGATCTGTCACCTGTCAGATTGAACGCTCCTAGGAACTCTCCACTACATACAAACGCGAAAACCACGTTTAAGAAAGAGGTGCTGATGATGTTTTCCACACACTTTCATTTGTAATGGAGCAGAGTATCAGGGATAGACAGGGTAGAGAAAGAAGGGAATGCGGTTAGCATGGGTGCTGGCAGAACCAGCTTTAATTTTAAATTTTGCGTGGAGTCCTGCAGAGTCGTTTGACAAGGATGCAAATTCTTACCTAAAGACTCACATAAGAAAAAGATTAGATTTATTAGTGTTTTATTGTTGATGGCACAGTACTTTTATTTTCATGATTCATGAGTTGCCTGTATAGTTGTCATATTTACTGGAGCTCTTTTCACAGGACTGAAATGATCCCTTGTGTCTTCTGCCTGCAGCAATTACAATTCGCCTTTCAAGTTTTCCTTTGGAGTTTGAGTTACTGCAATCTCAAACCAGATATACCAGTGCTGTCTTCAGTACTACAGACTTCTGATTTCATTCTTCACCTTTTTCTTTTTCACCAGAACTTGTTTACTCCACTCCTATGTACCTACCTTTGCATCTTGTAACCATCTTTTTATGCTCCAGGTACTATTCTGTTTTTCTATTTCCATGCAAGAAGTGTTTCCAAGAATGTGCTATCTACTAACACTATACTAAATGTGATAGGCAACTCAGAACTTTTACCTAGAAACATTTCTTTTTCCTAGAAATTTAAGATTGCAGAGAGAAAAATAACATATGTTCAGATTAAAGAATTAAGAACCAGTCCCCCATAGTATCTCACAAAGGAAGAAGATACAAGCACATAAACTCTGGGAAAGTTCAGTGGAGAGTTTTATTGGGTAAAGGATTTCATTGAAATAGGTTGGAAGATTAGTAAGATTTGGAGAGGTGGAGAAAACATCTGAGCTAAAAAAGGCACAGAATGGGATTAAGCTGGTTTGGCATAGCACAATGGTGGCGAACCTATGGCAAGGATATTATTTGTTTTTCTTTTAAGACAGCAGATGTTAATGTATGAGTTTTTAAAACTAAGACCTCAGTATTCAGGTTGTATTGCAGCATAGGCACTTTGTTATAAGTAAGTGGGTTTTGGATTACAGTCGGCATTTGTCTCTAAAAGTTTCCCCATCATGGCATAGAGCCTACTGAAGAATGGATTATATTGAAAGAGAAAGAATGGTAGTCTTGGCATCCAGAGAATGCATTTTCCTTACATTTTTGTTACCCTGTGATCTTTTACATTTTGTTTCTGAGTTTCTTTAGTGAAATTCTCCCATTTAAAGAGTTGTGAGAATCAGATGTGATAATGTTTATGGAAGGGCTTAGAAGGTCAAAAATATCATTTAATTAAACTTTTAATAGTTCTCTTGTTGAAGAGTAAGGAGAGCATTGCCAAACCATT